GCCACTTTAGGCCACCTTCACATTTTGCAAAAATGTTGGTTCACCACCAACATTACCAGAAGAATACTTCACACATGATGAACATTTTAGTTTTTATGTTTGAGCATTTTGAATTCCACACAAAATTTGAATTTGAATTCAACTGGAATTTGAAAGAGAGAGGAGACAAAGATGATCAAGCACTTGTTTAGCAAAATAATTAACTGAACCCCAGGGGTTACTGTAGCATCATTACACCGAGGTGTTACACCCCGGCGGGGCTGGTTCGCAGCCGCCGCCGAACTGTCCGAGCTCTCTGAATTGGTGGGAGTGGGCTTCTTCTTTGGAATCGGTTCTATCCCAGGATCACTTCCCTCACCAACTAGTTTGTTAGCCCCCGCTGTGAACACCACCACAGCTTTGGCTCCCCCATCCTGATGCACCTGCTCTTCGGTCTCTACCGGCGGCAGGGCAATCTGTCGATACACTTGTTTCTGCACTTGAGGTCCTCCCTTTCTTTTGTTTGTGTGGTTATTCTTCTTGACAGGGGATACAACGTCAGGGCAAGAGTCTGCCTTTTCCTTCGCCTTGCAAGCATCTTTGTTACTGCTTTGACCCGATCGCTGCTCCTTTGACGAACTATCATTAGACATTGCTTTCTTCTTCTCGTCCGACGCTCTCAGGCTAGTCTTGAAGGGTAAATCACCATTTGCATCACGCGAGCCTGGCGTCGGGCATTGGAGATCAGAGTGTCCCAATCGTCCACACGAGAAGCAAAAGTTGGGAACATTCTCATACTGAATATCGCACCAGTCCCTACTTTTCCTGGCTGCGGAATCAATCAGAATCCATCTGCGCAAGGGTTTACTAACATCAATTGTAACCCTAGCCCGCAGAAAACCACCAACGGGGTCAAACTGGATTGAGGATGCATTACGATCTATCTGCTGGGCCACCGCTTTCCCCCTTGTATCATTCCTCAAGTTAAAGGGCAGGTTCAAAACCCTAGCCCACAACTGAAGCTTATCAAACTGCAGCTCTGATCGCTGCATACATTCATTAAATTCTGTCAAGATCACTGCATGTTTACTGACATGCCAGGGAGATCCCTCCCACACGCGATCGCGATCACGTTGGGTCTCAAATTCTGCCACAGAAGTATTTTCGCCCACCGGACGGAACACCAGGCCTCTAGGGTTTCCCCAGGCCGGGCGCAAAGCATTGGAAATCGTCTGGATGTGCAGATTTCGGTTCAAAATCTTCCCCGCGATTGCCCAAGTCTGCCTCGCCCCCTCATCAATGTCATCCAAGACCAATGGTGTTGCCTCCTCCTCGGTGAGATCGAGTTTTCCCATGGCTTCCTCCATGCGCGCCCTCGCCGCCCTAGGCGAGAGTGCTTCCTTGCTACTCGATGACTCCGGGATCTCCATCCCGAGCCCTTTGCTAGGTGCTCCTCCGACGAGAACGATCGGCGGCCGCCGCTTCCTCCACGCGAAACCCTAATCGCCTCCCAGGGGGGCTCCTAGTTTTTCGGGGAAAACTTCGTAATGTTTATGATATAGTAGATGAGACACATATTATCGTGCAAAAAAAGTCTTCTCCTGCGTACCATTCTCATATCCACTATTCTTTTCTTTCACACTTCACACTGCACAGCCCTCTGGCGTATTCTTGGCTCTTGAAAGTATGTTGGGTTGTTGAGTAGTCCATCACTCCTCATGCTCTGATTGATTGGTACAAAATGCTTAACTTACTGAATGTATTTCATAAGTATTTTACATATTTTTTTAATAATGGAGTAATAGCCTGTTCGTCTATATAGGTTTCTTTTACTCCACCCACCGCATCGAGACAAAACCACCAGAAAATGGCCAGGAGGCGGTCGACGGGGAGAACTTCGGGTCCCGTCCGCGTCGACGTCGACATCGACGGAATCCCGAGCCTGACCCGAGCGAGCACGGGGACGTGGAATCACTGGTTGGTGCTGGGGCATTTGGGCTTGCGCGACCTAGCGTACGCTATCAGCGCCGCAGGGGTGGTAACCCACCCTGTGCAATCTAGGTGCTCGACGAAATGTCGAACCGAACCCTTGACGCTCCAGGCTCATCAGTGCACGCTCCACAGGTGATCGACACAATGCCTGAGTGGAAGAGCTGTCTGTGGAGTCGGCTGCTCTGGCGTGCCCGGTATGCTGCTGCGCTAGTACTAACCATCTTTGAGCACTGCGATCTCTTCCCGTGTCCAGGTATGGTGTCTCTTTTGGCAATCAAAACTTAGTGCTGGAATGTCATCTTTCACTGTCGAGGAGACGTCTGTGCCGCTCTTACTTTTTCATGCCTGTCGCTTTTGGCAAGGTACGCGTTGTATTCCAAATGAAGTACTCCCATGATGTGATGCTTCTGCAAATAGGGGTACCAATCATGTATCTTTGGATTCCTCAAAAAAATCATGGATCTTTGGGTCCTCTTCTCATCATCGACCGGGTCCAGCTTTTGTTTGTACAAGGTTGCAGCTCGCACCCAACTCCTTAAAGCCACTTGAGCATGTAGATAAACATGACCTGATCAGCGGGCCCCATGATCTTTCTGTATTTCCTTTTCTTCTTAAATAAAAGTTTTCATGCTGTGCTTCTTGTTTGGAGTCTCCACTGCACTTCTTCTTGTTCACACCAAACAACCATTCTCATCTCTATGCAATAGGTACGAACCCGCAGCCCAGCTTGATACCCGAGAATTTAATAGTTGAGGCACGTGTTTTTTTTGTCAAAGTTGAGGCGCGTGTTTGTTCATTACTTTCGTTGTATTAGGTTCTCTTCTGACTCCAAAGTGGTCCCGATGAGATCATATATTCATATTAATCTGGATGCGCACTGTTTCTGCATATCACATATGACTGGGTCGAAGCTAATAAGCTATGAGATGATAGCCTGATACATTGTTCTGGGGTCTTACCTTGTTTCTTTC